CCATAGCCTCTGTTAGGTCGGTGCTACTTGTGGGAACCCACGCTGGCACCGGGCACGTCGGCACACAGATGCCTGTTTGCCTGTGCATGCCCGTGTGTGTTTGGGCTACAGTGGCCGCCCTGGCCTCTCCACATTGCCCTTGATGATTCCATAGTATGGAATCAGGACATGTAGGCATGATGACTGGGAGTTGGGGTGGGGGATTCTTACCCCCATCCTAGTAGCAAGCAGAGGGGAAGGGGAGAGGGAGGTGTGAACCTACCCACAGCACTATTAATAGCCCACATGCCAGGCCACCAAGAACCAGCTGTCACCGTGGAAACCATTTCTGCTCCCCCCTCCCCCAGCCTCCATGGGGTGGGACTTAGGCAGGGCAGAAGCACCCCCCACCCATCTTTCTTTGTTACTTTCCTTTCTCCCTTTGTCTCTCTCTTTCATCCGCCTCTCTTCCCTTTATCTGTCCTTCCCGCCTCACCCCTTCCGCCCTCATTCTCCTTCTCATTGCTCCCTTCTTCCTTTTCCCTCTACTTCCTTGACACCCCTAGCTCTACCCACATCCCTGCTTCATCTCTTTGTTCTCCCCTTTGGGTTTTTCTTTCCCTCTTCCCCATTATTCACACCACCTGCCTCTTCCTCCTTTTTCTCCCCTTTACAGCTCCCCACTACAGTGTGCATACATGCATGTGTGCCTGTGTGCCCTGGTGTGTGTGAGTGCATGCGTGTGCATTTGTGTGCATGTGTGCCCTGGTGTGTGTGAGTGCATGCGTGTGCATTTGTGTGCATGTGTGCCCTGGTGTGTGTGAGTGCATGCGTGTGCATTTGTGTGCATGTGTGCCCTGGTGTGTGTGAGTGCATGCGTGTGCATTTGTGTGCATGTGTGCCCTGGTGTGTGTGAGTGCATGCGTGTGCATTTGTGTGCATGTGTGCCCTGGTGTGTGTGAGTGCATGCGTGTGCATTTGTGTGCATGTGTGCCCTGGTGTGTGTGAGTGCATGCGTGTGCATTTGTGTGTGTGTGTGTGCGCGTGTTTGACAAGGATGGCTGAGCTTTCTTCAGAGTGTTAAGGACAAAGTTCAGGGGCCCCAGGAAGGCAGAGCCATAGCCCAGTACAGATGCTCAGAGGCATGCTTGCTGCATGCTGCTAGATGGCTAAGGGCAGAGTCCCTGCTGGCAGTCTCAGGAGTCCTCTGGGCGTATCCCAGGGATCCACAGAGCTGCAGAGTAGGACAGGCGGCAGTGGGAACCTGGCATAGTGCCCATGGATGCCGCATTGGCTTCTTGTCCCTGTCCCCCCATTGCAGAATCACTTAAGCTTAATGAAATGCTTCCCCCTCTATGGGCAACTTGCCCATTCTGTCACCCAACAGCTCCTAGCTGACAAAGAAGGAGTGGGTGGCCAGGCCAGTGGACAGGTGGGTCTTGCTGTCCTGCTGTCCAAATGAAAATGAGTACCTGAACCCTATAGCTCCACCCCCTCTGTCTCTTTGGGTCTGACCCCTCACCCCCACCCCTTGCAAAGGATGTGCTAGGAAGGAGCTGGGGATATTAAGCTGAACTCCAGGAAGAGTGGGAAGAGGCTGCCCTTCAGGGTGGTTATCCTTGACGTAATACCCCTCCCCACTCACCTTTTCCCGGCCTGTAGCTAACATGAGCTCACATGGTTCGTGCCTTCCTGCATGCTGGGCCTCTGCCTGGGCTCCGTATAGCCTTAGAGGTCCATATATATCCTTGGAGAGGCTTTCAGCTGTCCCCAGGGGTTCTAGAGTTTTGCTAGGTGCCAGGCAAAAATGCTCTAAGAGGTGAGGATAGCACCTTGCCCCCTCCCATTGCCAGGGGATAACCTGGACTACAGCACCTGGCACCAGGGCACATTCAGCTCAGCACAGAGGTGCGGCAGACAAGGACCCTGCCCCTCCCGCTGTGGGCACGTGCAAGCCCTTGGCAGTGTCCAGACACATTTGGAGTTAAGGCTGGGCCAGGGAGGAGAGAGGGGAAATAAACAGGGTAGCTTAGTTTGGCACTGCCCCATGTCTGCCTTGTAGCAACTGGTAGTGGTGGGATGCTGGTGGGGGGGAGGCGGGAAGGGCACCTCCAGAGCTCTGGCCTGAGGCAGGAGCCTCCTGTGCCACTGCTCCTGAGTGAGGTTCCCTGCCAGGCCCTGCCCACAGCTGCTAATACCCATTCCTGCACTCCCTGGCCTTCTTTGCCTGCCCCCAAGGCCTGTTCCCCAGGGCTGCCCCTCTCTCTGCTTGCCCACTCCTGGGTCTGCCTCCTCCCTTCCCTGGGGGCGCTTGGGCCTCCGGCTGGCGAGTGGATTTTTCCAGCTTCTGTAAACAAGTGGTGGCAGTGTGCCAGGCGGGCAGGAGACAGGCGGGGGCAACACCGCAGCCAGGGTGTGCCAAGCACCGAGGCACAGTTGGGGCGGGGGGAACGGGGAGGGAGACACCCAGACCCAGAGAGAGAGAGAGGAAGAGAAAGAGAGAGAGAGATTCAGACAGACAGACAGACTAAATGAAGCCTTGCTGGGCACAGACAGCAATGGGAACAGACTAGCCTCTATTGTCCAGCCCCCATCGGGCTCCTTGCTGTTGCCCCTCTGTTCTAGCTAAGAGCAGTGGGCCCCAGTGCCCAGCCCTGGGCATCCCCACCCACTTCTCCTCCTCCCCCACCTCCACCCCTTAGGGCTGGCTACGCCATTATAAATTTATAACAGGAATTTCTCCACAAGCCAAGAAAAACTTGACCTACTTTCTTGATGGCTCCCTGGGCTACGTCTCCCCACTCATCCACCCCCCCAGACTCCTGTCCAGCCCCCAGTGCCCAGTCCTGGCCCGGGGGTGTCAGAGACATGCTAGGCCCCTTCTCTGCGCTCCTCCTGCTGCCCTGCCCCTGCCAATGCCCTGCTTTATCTCTGCCCCCTCCTCTCACCCTGACTCCTTATCAGCTCATGGGGGTGGGGCGGGGGGCCCAAGGCAAGGTCTCTAGTGCAGCAACCACGTGATGGAGTTCTAAGTGGGGAGCTGTTAGCCTCCCATATGCCTGCACCTGCCTATGTGCTTGCAGACAGGGTACCACAGGCCTGCAGCCAGGATCACAGAGGGACTGGAGGTGGGGCCATGTCTAGCACTATCCTGGCTCTAAGTAGCAGAACAAGGTTAGCATTAGAGCCAGGCTGTGGCTACCTGCTTCCTAGCTGCATGAACTTGAGGGACTCAACAAGCTTTCTGAGACTTGGTTTCCCCAACCTGGAAGGTTCATTTTATTATTTTTTAATGTTATGCTATTTTTTTTTT